CCCTCAAGTCTGGAACTCAGTTTACCTGTGGCTCAACTTCTAATCAAATGGCAGACAGGCCAATATGTGATCACTGTCAGTATTGAGGTACCACGTTCTTAAAAGAACCCATCAAATGAGAAGAAAAAGGCAGTGCTTGCCTCGGGATGAAATGGAGAAGACAGGAAATAATAAGAAGAATAAGTGGAGATAGGAGCCCGAGGAGGCGATGGAAAGGGCAACGCTGGGAGGATCCTCACGTCACCAAGAAACGGCAGGGACTGATTACGAGAAAACCAATTCCATCTATACATTTTCACCCAAATCACAATAAAAAGCTCAAAACAACAACAATAAAAAATGGTGCAAGAGCAGGAATCACAACGCACAGTGATCTCCACCGGACAATGATGCACGAATGAGTCGGAGCCTCACAGAGCACGCGGTCCAGGGGCCAACAATTCCATCCATGGGGACATGTGCTCCAGGGGCCAATTCCACCCATGGGGACACATGGTCCAGGGGTCCAGGGGCCGACAATTCCACCCACGGGGACATGCAGTCCAGGGGCCGAGAAGTGCACCCACGGGGACACGTGGTCCAGGGGCCGAGAAGTCCACCCACGGGGACACACGGCCCAGGGGCCGACAATTCCACCCACGGGGACATGCAGTCCAGGGGCCGAGAATTCCACCCACGGTGACACGTGGTCCAGGGGCCGAGAATTCCATCCACAGGGACACGCGGTCCGGGGGCTGACAATTCCATCCATTGGCATCCACTCGGACTTGTGGTCCAAGGACTGAGAACTCCACCCACTGGGACACGTGGTCCAGGGGACTGGGAATTCTGTTCACTCAGCTATGTGGTCCAGCAACTGAGAATTCCATCTACGGGAGCATATGATTCTCAGCTGAAGGGAACTGAGAACTGAGAATTCTGTCCATGTCAGGTCAGCTATGAATAAGGATAAAACCTGAGCGACAACAATGCTGTAACCATGGAGATTGCTGAGTCTGGATGTGAGTGCAGGCAGGTGAAAGTCTGGGCATAAACAGGACTGAACTGGGAGGCAGAGATGTGTGTAGGCGTGAGCTCATCTTACCATCCAGGCTCTCCTGTCTGAGGCTGCTCTTCTGTAACACTGACCCTAACCTGTGCCTCTCTCACAGGGCTGTCATGACATCAAGGAGATTAAACATGAGAAGAGATATGGACCCTGGGGAGGGGCAGAACAATGAATACAGAGATGGCACTCACAAGTCAAGCTCTGGGCACCACACCTGCGGCTCCCAGGAAGCACTCACACCTTTAAGTGCGGCCTTTCCTGGGGACAGAGGGAAGTTGCGTGAACTAGGAGACGAGTATGTGTGAGAGGGGACCTGCAGACAAGGTTCCCAAGGTGCTGCTTTCCCAGACTCTCGCTCTGAGTGGAAAGAGCAGAAGGGTGACTTGGTGACTGTTGGGAGGATCAGGGTTGTGGACGGTGGATGGAGGGATGAGCATGGGACAGTGGGATGGAGGACTATGGCGCTGACCTTGGCCTTCCTCGGTGGAGCCCCTGGGGGTATGTCAGCCGTGTGCGGTGGGTGCAGGTCTCCGTAGCTGGCCACGTACTGGATGAGGTTCATCAATGCGGCGCAGGAATCGGAGCAGGTTCGGATGTGGACCACGTCACTGGAGCAGTGCAGCTCGAAGCGGGGCTCAGGCTGGCAGGACACAGGGCCAGGGGGTCAAGGCTCCCAACCAAGATGCGAGAGTGAGACAAGAGGGCCCCGCAGGGAGTCTGGTACTGCTAGCAATGCCCTCTTAATTTTAAAATTTTATTTTGAACAAAACTTGGCATATGGAAAAACAATTTCACAGTAAAATCAGCTTTTTTAATTTAGTAAAATCTCTCTTTAATAAAAATCTCCACTTATTTTAATAGCTTACTTGATCTGCGTCAGCATCAGATTTCACTGCAGTTATGGTTAATTCCAAAAGCCCCATATCCATCACACGAACATAATCTAAAATTATAAAAAGTAAAAACAACTATGAGAGATCATCTCACCCCAGTAAGAACAGCATAATGTTACAGAACAGCAAGCAACACATGCTGGCAAGGTTGTGGAGAAACTGGAACTCTTATTCACTACTGGTGGAAGTGTAAAATGGTGCAACCACTGTGGAAGGTGATATGGCGCTTTCTCAAAAAGTTTCAAATAGAGATACCATTTGACCCAGCAATTCCTCTACTGGGAATATACCCTGAAGAGACCATAACTGACATCCAAGCAGATATATGCACACCCATGTTTATCGTCGCTTTGTTCACAATAGCAAGGAGTAGAAAACAACCTAAGTGCCCATCAACAAACGAATGGATAGAGGAGCTGTGGTATATTCACACAATGGATACTATGCTGCATTGAAGAACAAACTCATGCAATATTATTCAAAATGGGTGACCCTGGAGGACACTGAGCTGACTGAAGTATCTCAGTCATAAAAGGACAAATACTGCATAGTGCCACTGTTGTAGAATGAGACTGAGCTCAGGGTTGGGGTGAGACTGGGAAAAATTGAATAAATTACGTAGACTGCATTGAAACAGATGAGGGAGAGAATAGTTTAAAAGTGATATATGTTTGGGTATTATGGTCATAAGTACAGAATGAAGGCTGCAGAGTGGAGCATAGGGGGTGGGGCGGCAGCAGCGGGGAAATGTATACAAATGAAAGAATTTTCCTTTTACTTTTCCTAGAGAAGAGAGAACTGGGGGGGGAGGGGTGGGCAGAGAAAAATGCAACAATGAATGAATGGAAATCCTAAATCTCTATAAACGTTCATTAAAATTAATAAAATAAAATTTATTTAAAAGGAAAAAAAAGTAAAAGACATTTTACCAAGTAAAACTTACTTAGCAAATTACCTAAGCATTTCTTTATAAGACTGCTTATCCATGGGTGGAAGGGGGTGAGTCAGGGAGGGGGGATCCAATGTGAAGGGCAATGTATGTAAACTTTGTAGGTAAAGCAGTGTAATTGGAAAAATAAAAAAGGCAAAAAGAATATTTATCCAGTTAATAATACACAAAACTAATATTTAAAATCAACCTTGCTGGCAGTGCTATGACCTGCCATGGACATTGATAGTTTTTTCCCCATACAAACACTACAGGTCACTTAATCTGAGTTAGGCAAATGTTTGCTTTACATTAAATATGTATTCAAACTATATGTAATTTGAAGCATTAAAGTGATCTTGTAAGAACATTTCACGTTTGGACTGACAGTTAACAGTAAGATTTGTACTTCACTGGCCTTATCCCCAAGTTACAGATCTTTGAAATAAACATGCATACACACACCGTAAGCACACATAAACATGCACACACACAAACGCCCCATACACACACCATATACACACATAAACATTCACACACATGCGTGCCCCCAGGTACACACATAAATGTGCACACATAAATATTCACATTCATGTGTGCCCATACACACACAAACGTTCACACACACACACACCATATACACACATTCACGTACACGCACGTCCCATGTACTCATCATGTACACAAACATTCACACACGTGTGGGTCCCATGTACTGACCATGTGCACACACACACACACGCCCCATACACACACCATGAACACACACAAACGTTCACACACACACATGCCCCATACACACACCATGTACACACATAAATGTTCACACACATGTGCACCCATACACATCACGTACACAGTAAATGTGCGCAAACCTGCACACCAAAGCGCGCTCTCTCTCCAGCTTTCACTCCCCAGCTCTTACCTCTGCTCAAATGTATATTGACGGTGTTGCATGTGCCAGACAAATGAAGAGCAGCTTCGTCCAGGATTATTCTGGGAATGGAAGAAAATAAAACCACCATCTGAAAAACATGCTCTGATCAGGTGTCACATAATCACGACAGGCTTCACCCATCACTTTGTTTCCTGTGCAAAAGCCATCAGCATCACATAGAATTTCACCCTAAAATTATCCCCCGACACCTCCTTCCAATGCACTGTTTATGTGTGCTGGAATGTCTAAATGGTGTCAATAAGAAGCTCCAAGGAATTCCAAACTGGCAGTTTTGTTTTGAAATAAATGCTCAAAGCAAGAACGTTTGTGGGGGTTCTGGAAGTTTATCACAGGTTTACGGAGTCAACAAAGAACCTTGTTCCTAAGGAAGGAGAATGATTACCCGCAGGAGTAGCTGCAGGAGCCCCTGAGAGAACCTGCGGGCTTGGGATGCAAACAGGAGGGGAGGAGCTTTAGGAGAAGCTTGAGACCTGCAGCTAAGGGCTTGGTGACATCAACCTGTGCTCTGTACAGAAAGGCGTGGGTCTGGTACCTGAGAGTGGAAGACGACTTGTCCAGGGAGACACTGCTGGAAATGCTGAAGGTCTCCACTGTGAGCAGGGACCGGAGGGGAAGGTAGAGAGGCCTGACACCAAGAGAGACATTGTCAGTCAGGGGAGGAGCCACGGGGACTCAAGAACGGATCTCAGATGGAGGGTGACAGCTCAGAGCAGACTGTAAGGCACTGAGGCCCAAAAGCACCACAGCACCATGGCCCTATGATAGCGTGGACATCATGACCACATGGCCTCACGGCCCAGTCTCATGACTTCTCCACCATGACCCCATGGCCCCACAGTCCCACAGCCTTGCGGCCTGCCTTCACCATGACCCCATGGCCCCGTGTGTGGCCTGCCTTCACCATGACCCCACGGCCCCGTGGCCTGCCTTGTCCACCATGACCCCACGGCCCCGTGGTCTGCCTTCACCATGACCCCATGGCCCCGTGGCCTACCTTCTCCACCATGACCCCACGGCCCCGTGGTCTGCCTTCACCAGGACCCCACACCCCCGTGGTCTGTCTTCACCAGGACCCCACGGCCCCGTGGCCTGCCTTCACCATGATCCCACAGTCCCGTGGTCTGCCTTCACCAGGACCCCACGGCTCCGTGGCCTGCCTTCACCAGGACCCCATGGCCCCGTGGCCTGCCTTCTCCACCATGACCCCCACGGCCTCATACTCTGCCTTCTCCACCATGACCCCACGGCCCCATGTGTGGCCTGCCTTCACCATGACCCCATGGCCCTGCGGCCTGCCTTCTTCACCACGACCCCACGGCCCTGCGGCCTGCCTTCACCATGACCCCATGGCCCTGCGGCCTGCCTTCTTCACCACGACCCCACGGCCCTGCGGCCTGCCTTCTCCACCATGGCTAGCGCACCTGTAGTCGAGAGCGCAGCTCCAGAGGTGGACATGAAAAGTTGTGACTGAAGTTGGAGGGTTGTATCCCAAAACAGGCTCATCAGCAATATTCAAGAAGTATAAAATCTGTAATCACAAAAACAAGAAATGCCCTGCTTTAGAAGAAAAAAAGGGGTGATATGGGTTCCCGAAGATCCACGTAAACAAATGATCAAGCAGCCAGTAAGTGGGGAAGTCAAGTCTCCGTCTACAAAGAAATCACCGGCAGAACGGAATCTGACGTGAAAGGCCAGCCAGCAGTGTACCGCCTGACGTCAGAGGGCAGCTTTGGGAAGCTGATGCCGATGCCAGGCCACGAGGACTGTGGGGGTGTGGTCAGGGGCTGGCGAGCTGGGTCCAGCTGCCTGTGGCCTCACGGACGGCAGACTCCAACGCAGCCTGACCGTGTCATCCTCCCCTCACTCCTGCGCTGGCCCACGCTGCAGCCACCGGGTCCGTGCCCTCCACGCACGCTTGCCTCTTCTATGTTAATACACTCTCGTGCTAGGCTGGTCGCAGCAATTCTTGAAAATCATGTTGGCTGGCGAGTGTTGGTCAGTAGTCTCATTTTCCACATAAGACATTGTTGGAGAGAGCACTTTACCACTGGTTTATCCCCAGTTCAAGCTGCAAACCAATTCATCTCATCAGCGTTTATTCTCTTAATTTTGTTCTTTTTAAACTGGTTCTTGGGTGAATGTTTACGGCACAAATTCATTTTCCATTCAACACTTCAGACAACTTTCACTCAGTCATTTGTAAGCATTCTGTTTCCCGGCACCAGGGGCAGCTCTCACCACCACAGCACACGCCCCACTTCTTCCCTGGCCGCCCTGTTTCTACTGGTCCTTCCTTTCCGCCCCTTCCTGCTTTCACATGCTCGCAGATCTCAAGCTTACGCAAATCAGGAGGCTGGGCCACAGCTCTTCTTTACAGATACTTTAGTATCCACACTAATGGTCAAATTTCATGTTATGTTTCCTAAATGCCTTATATATAAAGACAAAGCATTTTGATGCATATCCAAAAACGTCTAAGACAGGGTGAAAAGGGAGGCCACTGAGTGGGAAAAAGTGTTTGGCAATGACATTTCAGATAAGGAACTTCTATCCAGAATTTATAAAATACTTGAGCACCACAACAAGATAAAGATAAATAATCCAATTGAAAAATGGGCACAGGATATGAACAGACACTTCACCAAAGAAGACATTCAGATGGCCAATAAGCACATGAAGAATCCCTAGCTCTAAGAGAGATGCAAATTAAAACAACTATCAGATATCATCTCACCCCAGTCAGAATGGCAAAATTTAACAGAACAGCAAGCAACAAATGCTGGTGAGGTTGTGGAGAAACTGGAACCCTTATTCACTGTTGGTGGGAGTGTAAAATGGTGCAACCACTGTGGAAAGCAGTATGGCACTTTCTCAAAAAGTTGCAAATAGAGATACCATTTGATCCAGCAGTTCCACTACTTGTAATATACCCTGAAGAGACCATAACTGACATCCAAGCAGATATATGCACACCCATGATTATTGCAGCTTTGTTCACAATAGAAAGGAGTTGGAAACAACCTAAGTGTCCATCAACAAATGAATGGATAGAGAAGCTGTGGTATATTCACACAATGGACTACTACGCTGCGTTGAAAAAGGAGCAACCCAAGCAATATTATTCAAAGTGGGTGACCCTGGAGGACATTATGCTGAGTGAAGTATCTCAGTCACAAAAGGACAAATACTGCATAGTACCACTGTTGTAAAACAGGACTGACCTTGGGGTTGGGGAGAGACTGAGAAAGATGGGTTCAATAATGTATACTGCATTGAAACAGATGAGGGAGAAAACTGTTTAAAAGGGATGTGTGATTAGGTATTTTTGTCATGACAGGAGTCCAGAGCAAAGGCTGCATGGTGGAGTGGACTGGGGGCAGGGTTTGTAAAACAATGAAAGAATTTTTCTTTTACTTTTCCAAGAGGGTAGTTTCCTTGGGGGGAGGGTTGGGAGGGGAGAAAAGTGCAACAATGAATGAATGGATATCCAAAGTCTCTATAAATTTTCATTCAAATTAGTAATAAATTGTTTAAAAAAGCATATTGGAAACCTGCTTTGAATGAGTATTTCCCCAAGAACAATGGAGAAGTTCCTCTTCATAAGGAACATGGACCAGAAAACGTGCTAGGCTAGCTTTTGTTCTAAATAAGGATCTAAGTTACTATCGAGAGCTTCTTCCTCACGTACCCAGCTGGGTTTCAGCACTCACAGAGACTCATGGAAACGGGAGTGAGCGCCAGAGCTGCTCAGGCGCCCAGAGCATCGGCCAGGGGCTGGTTGTACAGTGACACACTTGCCTCGGGGCTGGGCAGGCAGTGTGCCCTGCTCCTCTACACCAGGCACGGAGGTGGACGTGGGCCGCGCAGCTGAGAGTCCACACCAGGCACGGAGGTGGACGTGGGCCGCGCAGCTGAGTGTCCACACCAGGCACGGAGGTGGACGTGGGCCGCGCAGCTGAGTGTCCACACCAGGCACAGGGGTGGACGTGGGCCGCGCAGCTGAGTTCTTGGCTGCTGACTGACACGTCAATGGCTTGTGCTCATCAGGGACTCTGGGGGAAGAAGTGGCTGTCGGCTTCCCAGGAAGGTTTCTAGCCTTTCCAATGCTCCAGGGCAGTCCCACACTCCTCTTCAAGGTCACTAGGAGACACAACTGGCTGGTGGACAATGGTCTTCTGCTGGGCACTCAGCAGCTCCTGGGACAGAAGGTCTCTTTCTTTTAACGACCAAGAAAACCCGTCTGTGCTCTGGAGGCTGGTTCTGTACCATCAGACACCTCGTGGGGTTTGACTCTGTGGTCTGGAGATTGCGAGGACACTTCCGTCCTCTGGCTCAGTAACGTGATCAGTGTCTCAGTTCTACCTCCAGGTGATCCGACAGCGACTGGGCTCTTAAAGCCTTCAAGTGGCTAGTCAAGGTGCACTACCTGGTCTCCAGAGCAGCAGAGGAGAAGGAGACTCAGGAACGAGAGGGCCATGAACAACTGCCTCCTTGCCAGCCCAGAAGCAGATGGTTCCCAGCTACGACTCCTGTCATCCGGATCCAAGGTGCCACAGAAGATAACTGCACACTGTCACGGCCTTCAGACTCCCACGGCTGGGCAGATGGACAAACTCAGGAGACTACTGCCCTGACCATCTTGAAACTTTGAACCCAAACTGGTTTTTGAGATTGTCTTAAAACTAAGCATTAGTTTAGCTTAACTAGAAAATAATGTGTGCCTTTATCATCATGCTCTTTTAGGGAATACCTATTGGGGATCACACTGACAACAGTGGCTCAACAGGTTCAGCAGGAACGTTCAGGGGAGGTGTACTTACGGTGACAGGAGAGGCGCGGCCCAGAGGCAAGACTGGCCACACAACGCCCCATGCCACTGTTGTTGGTGCTGCGAGAGCCTATCAACAGGCGATCTGCACGTGCCTGTCCCGTCATCTTCAGTCTCTGATATCCACCTGGCTGAAGGTCTTCCCTTGTCTCTCGACCCTCCATCTTCCCAAGCACGATGCCCCTTTCCAAGGAATAGCCTCTCCTAGCAACATGCCCAAAGGATATGCGACAAAGCTGGTTGTCCTTGCCTCCAAGGACACTCTGGTCACACCCTCTCCAAGACAGATCTGTTCATTCTCCTGGCCACCCTTGGGATGTTCAGTGCTCTTCTCACCACAGCTCAAAGGTATCAATTCTTCTTCTCTCATTCTCAGTCACTGTCCAGCTCTCAGAGATATAGCAAGTGATCAGAAAGACCGTGGCCTGAATCAGATGTACCTCAGTCCTCAAACTGACATCATTACTCCTCAATAATTTCAAAAAGTCTCTACCTGCAGATTTTCCCAGTGTCTCCTGATCTCCTGACTGCTGGTACCAAGCGACTTGATTGTGGATCCAAGTAATTCGCACCTTCAATTCTTTTTCTGTCCATCATGATGTTGCCTTTTGGTCCCGTGGTGGATTTGGTCCAGTGATTTTTGTTTTCTTGATATTGAGACGCACTCTATATTGAAGGTGGCAGTGTTTAACTTTCTACAGTAGGTGCTCAAGGTCCTCCACACTTTCAGCAAGCAAAGCTGTGTCATCGACATAACACAGGTTATTGACGAGTCTCTTACCAATCCTGATGTCATGTTTTCTTCATAGAAACTGGCTTCTTGAATAATTTACTCAGCATAGATTGAATAGGTATGGACAGAGGATATAGCCCTGATGCACAGCTTTCCCAGTTTTGGAATCATGCAGTATTCCCTTGCTCTGTTCACACAACAACTTCTTGATCTAGGAATAGGTCTCACACAAGCACGGATAAGTGTTCTGGGACTCCCATTCTTCTCAGTGTTAGCCGTAATTTGTTATGTCACTATTGAAATGCTGAATTGGCGTTTTGTTTTATATAAGGTTAACAATGAAATGAATACAACAAAAAGTAGTGATTCTGTCTTTAAAATGTTTAGGGACCAAAGTTGAAGGTAAAAAGTCACCTACCTCTCGCTAAAAATATTCTCTTTGACCTTCAAGGTGGTTACAGAGGAGTGTCTACTTCATGATGACTGGGGGCACTGATGAGCCCTGACGTGTCAGCACAGGTGGGACCTGCGACCTGCACAGTAACCCCAGGCCCCGGCTCCGACTTGCCAGCACGGGTGGGTCCTGCACAGTAACCCCAGGCATGCAGATATAGCAGCTGTCTTACCTGCTCGTGCCAGCTGAGCCCGGAGGGAAGCACTCTGTGCTGGAGTGTGGCTCCTTTCAACCCTACAGCAATGAGGAATTCCTGTGCACACAATACACAAAGGAGACCACATTACACACTGGCCAGCAACACAATCATAGGATCCCAAAACTGTTCTTTTTAAAACTATGATTTTCATGAAAGTTTACAGAAAAGTTGGACAGTCATTCATTCATTGTTGCACATTTTCCTTCCTACCCCTCAGTTCACTTTAAAAGAAATATTCATTGTTGCAGTTTCCTCCCTCCCCGAGTCTGCTCTGCAAGGCACCTCTTAGAACCCAAAGCTTGAAGCAAAATAAACATGTGCCCTTTTATGCAATAGTCTTTTGCTGACCATCAATTCAGCAGTAAGTATCTCATGTTATGAAAGCACAGAACACAAACCTTTGTATTGGATTCTGATTTATCAGACAGTATTTTAACGGCAACAGAGAGCATATTCCCGCTGTCTGCTCCGACGCCCTCAGAAGCCACGCTGTGGAGGCCATCTTCCTCAGAGGAGTAAATGGTGGGCTCCAACCAGTGCGGGCGTGCTGTGCTGGGCAGTCTCGTTTCTGTGGGCAGAAGTGCTCCGTCCACTATTCCTGGAGAACAAGGTGAAACTAGCTTATGGCCTTCCAGAAAATGCATACAAATCCACAGTGTCTACTGACGTTCCACTCCCGCTGAAGGCACCATGTCCAACAGCTCTGGGCATCCACAGCCCACATGCCTTCACTGCTCTGTTAGAACAGGCTGCATGTGACACACAGCCAACACTGTGACGTGCTAGGACAATGGGGTCGGAACCGCAGACTCTGAGGAGCCTCAGGAACGTGCAGGATGCTCTACAGAGGGTAACACAGGGAGCACTGGGGAACCGTAAGTTCTATGTCTGAAACCAAAGGGAATAAACAATGGTCAGTCCCAACAAGGGCCAAACTCGCCCAGCATTGCTTAAGCTGAAGGAACTAAAGAACAAATTCAAGCCGTGAGTTGCAATGCTTAAGGATGCTATGAACGATTCAGGAAGCATTAAAAGAAGATGCAAGGAGTACACAGAGTCACTGTACCAAAAAGAATTGGCTGACACAGAAGAACTTCAAGAAGCAACATATGATCAAGAGGAAATGGTGATGGAGGAGGAAGTGCAGGCTGCTCTGAAGGACTTGGCGGAAAATAAAACCCCAGGAATTGCTGAAATACCAACTGATATATTTCAACAAACAGATGCTGCCCTGGATGTGCTCATCAAGTTTTGACAAGAAATCTGGAGGACAACTACTTGGCCAACTGATTGGAAGAGATCCATATTTATTCTCATCACAAAAAAAGATGACCCAACAGAGTGTGGAAATTATCCAACAATATCACACACTAGCAAAATACCGCTGAAGATTATCCAGAAATGACTGGAACAGTACATTGACAGAGAACTACCAGAAATACAAGCTGGGTTTAGAAGAGATTGTGGCACTAGAGACATTATTGCCAATGTAAGATGGATCTTGGCAGAAAGCAGAGAGTACCAGAAGAATGTCTATGTGTGTTTCATTGATTATGCAAAGGCATTTGACTGTGGATAATAACAAATTGTAGCTCACCTTGAGGAGAATGGGGATCCCAGAACACTAGATTGTGCTTATGTGAAACCTGTATTTGGACCAGGAAGCAGTCCTCAAAACAGAGCAAGGAAACACTGCATGGTTCAAAATCAGGAAAGGAGTGTGTCAGGGATGCATACTGTCTCCATACCTTTTCAATCTGTGTGCAGCACAGATTATTTGGAAAGCAGGGCTTTATGAGGAGGAATGTGGCATCAAGATTGGAGGGAGACTCATCAACAGCTTACAATAAGTAGATGACACAACCCTGCTTGCTGAAACTGAAGAAGAACTGAAGCACTTGCTGCGGAGGGTCAAGGACTGTAGTCTTCAACAAGGATTGAAGCTCAACATCAAGAAAACAAAGATTCTCACCACTGGGCCAATTAGCAGTACCATCATAGATGGAGAAGAGATAGAGGTTGTTAGTAATTACGGCTCCACAATCAACATTCTTGGCACCAGCAGTGAGGAAATCAAAAGATGAATTGCATTGGGAAAATCTGCTGTCAGGGACCTCTCCAGAGTGCTGAAAAGCAACAATGTCAGTCTAGAGACTAAGGTTCACCTAATCCAGGCCATGATCTTCGCAATTACTTGTTATGCATCAGAGACCTGGACAATGACTAAAGATGACAGAAGAAGAATCGATGCCTTTGAGTTGTGGTGCTGGAGAAGAGTCTTGAAAGTATCATGGACTGCCAAGAAAACAAATAGGTCTGTCTTGGAGAAGGTGAAACCAAGTCTCTCCTTGGAGGCAAGGATTTTGAAGCTCTGCCTCATATACTTTGGGCACATGGCCAAAAGGGACCGGTCCTTGGAGAAGGATATCATGCTTGGAAGGGTGGAGGGACAACGCAGGAGAGGAAAACTCAAGATGAGATGAATTGATAGAGTAACTGGGGCATTGGGGGTTGGTCTGTGGGAATTAGTGAGGTCCTGGCTCTGGATAGGGAAGGGTTCAGAGCTGCTGTACTTAGGGTCACTATAGGTTGCAGGCAACTCGATGACACATTACAACAGCAACAAGACCCCAGTGGCTCTAGGGAAGGTTCCTAATGCCCGTGCTCGGCCCTGGCATGCAGAGGTGCCATGGCAGGCCTCACGCGGGCGGCCCTACCTTTGTGGTACAGACTGAAGCCAACAGAGTGCAGGCACACATAGTGCTTGTCCTCGAACCCTTCGTATCTTGTCACGCAAAACAATGAGCCGCTGCTGAACTCCAGCCAGAACTCCCCATGCTTGTCTGCCCACGGGACTCCATTGTCTTTCTGAAATTAAAAAAAAAAGATTAGAAAAACGTGCGTCACTTTCTTGTTAAATCAGACAAGGAAGACTGCTCCTCAGAATGGCCTCTTGCCTGAGTTTTGGAAACTGCCACCCAATGCTGTAGGAGTAAAAGTGGCATATTAGGGTGCTACACGGTGGATCCGCCAGCTAATCCTGACCTCCAGAGCCCCCTGATGATACCCACAGGACACCCTCTCAGTGGCAGGACCAGCACCCACTTTACAAAGGAAAGCCTACTTTAAGTCACACCCCCTAAACTGTTGTCACCACAGGGTGCTTTGGGCCCCGACGGAACAGGCGCCCCGGCTCGCTCTCAGCACAGGACAGGTGGCACCCTGGTCCGGGCCTCCTCACCCTCACATCCGTGAACACGGCCACCAGCCCATGGTTGACATTGAGAAGGAGCGAGAGGAAGCTCTGGGCATTCTTGTTCTGAGCGTCTGGTTTCTTTTTCCTCCGGGAACGGTAGTTGGGATCAAGGGTCGAGAAATACTGCAAGGTGTCTTCCTCAGACCCGCTCTCCTCATCTAAGGAGAAACGTCAACCTTAGCCGTGACTAGTGACAGCTGGGATGGCCCAGGGACTTCCAAGTCACCATGACAGTCTCCACAGACTGGACCCGAAGGCACGTCCCGTTAGAAAGGAACCCAGCAGCCACCCCTCCAATCAGGAGAACAGGGCTAGGGGAGAATGTCCTCCAGAGGCTGTCACCAGATGCCATCCAGTTAGATCATACGCAGCAACCGACCCTTGTCCAACAGAAGCCACCTCTGCCCCACCCACGTGGAAGAGGGGATCCTTGTAGACCACTAACAGAAATGAAAACTACAGCAACAGACAGAAAAGCCAGCCGGAGACGCTGGTAAACCCCCAGCTGGCACGTCAGCAGCTTGGTTTACAGACCAGCCGGGAACACAGCCGGGGCGCAAGGGAAGGCGTGCTGCCCACCACCTACCATACTGGCCTGTGGACTTGAATGCGCTGAAGCTGTCCTTGCTGAAGGTGTTGATCAGCTGGCTGGCCACCGAGAGCCCCGCCCCGCAGGAGAGGTTCTCAAAGGTCTCCACCGGCGACGGGGCGGTGGGTTCCCACAGCAGCAGGTCGTTGAAGACCCTGGCAGGACAAAGGGAGGGAGTGCGTGGGTACTCCTCCTGCTCAAGACAAAGTAACACCACCCCTTCAAGGGAGATTAGATCTCGTAAACAAGAAAAAAAACGGTTCTGTCCCTTTGGCAGAGGGCAACTACCACGTCTAATGCAGAGCGGGGAGGAAGGGCCCTCAGAATGAGGCCAGACAGAACAGCGTCCAGGCCTCACTCCCTGTGCTCACATTGGACACGGAAATGTCAGAGGAGTGGCCACTGCTCAGCTGTCCGTACCTAGCCTCTGGCCCTCGGTCCAGCCAGGTCGCGGTCACTGACATGAGGTCGGACAAGAGCCTTATTCCTCACACATGCATCCAAGGCACAGACCCTAGATCCCTGCAGCTCACAGAGGGCCTGGGCTCCCCAGGGGCCCCAGTCACCAGGACTTACAGAGGAAAGGACATCCAGGGCACTAGTGCCCAGGCACCACTCCGTGGGCCCTCCTGTGAGAAGCCACCAGCAGAGGGGCCTCCTGGGCTGTCCCTGAGCCTCTCCCAATGCTCCGGGCTCCCCCAGCTCCAGGTCCTGTGCTGTGCAGGAGACATACCCAGCCAGGAGGGCAGTCACCCTGTAGCACAGGGACAGCCGGGCTGTGGGGGCACACGTGGCCGTCCGAGACCTATCTACACTACTGTGTAAAGACGGGTGGAGGTGTAAAGCGGAGACCTGCCTCAGGAAACGCCTCCTCTGCCCGTCCCCACGGCGTGCTCTCTGGGGTGGGGAGAAGCTACTGGCCCCACTCAGCAGCTGCGGAGCATGCTCTGTGGGCAGACGCCGCCTAAGGGCTGCCTGTTCACCTTCTCTCTCTTTTGGCCTTAACACCACTGCACCGTGAATCCAGCCAAGAGAAAGCAAGTCCTGCAGGAGGCGCCCCAGGACACACGCCATGATTCGGAGGCAGAAGAGAAGCTCAGCAAATAAGGACCTGAGAAGTGGACAGAGTTCATCTGTATTCTGTTTTAAGGGGCTTGGGGCATAGGAAATATTCTACCTCATCTGAATCTATCTTCCTAAAAGATAGTTGATCAAGAAAGTAAAGAAGTAAGCGTGTTTAAATGTATGAAGTAAAGCAGAGCTGGTTAAACTCCAGTTCAGAAGGAAAACACTTTAAAAACGTTCATCTATCTGTATTTCACTATCTGTGTGGTCTTAGAAAAACCGGAATGAGGTCTGAAGAGTAATATCAAGAATGTGCCAATACTGCAGTTTTCCTGGCTGAATTGGCTTCTGTAGGAGAGTGGACCAGTAAGCAACATCACGATGGAGGAAGACGGATGCTGCCACAGCTGTCACTCTGCATGGACCCTCCACCAGTGCCCTGCAGCATGGAAGCATCAGTCAGTCAGGAAGCACATACTGTGCTGGGCTCATCGGCTGCAAAGGCCATCGTAAAGTGCCAGAAAGCAAAGGCCAAGGTTTGCCTGGTTGGCACACGAATTCGCCTCTAGACAGTGAAGGCGGCAGCAGAAGGCTGGCGCCTTGGAGCTGTGGTGCTGGTGGGGAAGACGGACTGCACGACGGACAGCCAAAGAACACACAGACCCACCGAGGAAGACGAGCAGCCACTGGGCTGCTTCGAAACAGGGCGAGGGGGGCTTCATCTTCCAGACTTTGTTCTGAGGCGGGGCTGGTCCCTGAGAGGACATCCTGCTTGGAAAAGTAGCAGATGAGCCAAAGAGAGGAAGACCCTCAGTGAGTCAGAACGACACAGTGCCCGTACCACTGGTCTGGAGCACAGGGCAGTGGGAGCTGCTGGGACAGTCTGCTGTCCATGGGCTGCTGTGCGTCAGAAGCAACTCGATGTCACCTAACACTGCCCACCAGCAAAAGGACAGATGATCTCAGAGGAAGTGCAGCCAGATCGCCCCTGAGAAGCAAGGATGTGAGAGTTCGTCTCACAGACTTTGGGCATTTTATTGGGGAGGGGGTGTGTTTTCCCTGGAAAAGGACATCATGTTTAGAAGAACAGCAGGCCAGGGAAACGAGGCAGTCCCTCCACGAGACAGACTCACACTGGAGGAGCAGCAATGGCTCAAGCAGAGATGATGGTGAGTCTGGGGAGGTCAGCCAGGGCATGGCTGTGTGTACAAAGGGATGCTGCGGGCTGTCGTTAACTGGACAGCGCCTAGGAGCATGGCAACGGCAGGAGCACAGGCTTGTATGCGGAAGGGGGTACCAAGTTCACACCAGGGGATCCAAGTTCACACCAGGGGATCCAAGTTCACACCAGGGGATTCAAGTTCACACCAGGGGATCCAAGTTCACAGGGGATCAGGCAAGGAGGATCATGTCAGCAACTTGGTTTCAAATAATTTAGGGACCAAGGTTCTTTGCACTACGGAACTAGGCCTATAACTTTATGACTGTGAGAATGTTTTAACTAACAAGGAAATAAAAACTGTTTGCGTAGAGTCTAATTCATGCGTGAGGAAGCAGACAGGCTGTTTACAGGATCTTTCCGTCATTACAGGCGGGAAGTCTGGGTGCGCAGGTGAAGGGCAGAGGGATTCTATGAAGCACCCCATTTTGCCGCCTCCCACACAGAGAGGCTCTCGGGCCCCTAAGGGAAGCAGTCACCCCTCATTCTGCTGCCAAGCTGACAGAGCTGGCCCTGTTGATTGCTCACTGCAGCTTATCATGGCGGGCTGGTGGAGGTGTCCCCTAAAACAGGTCAGTTAAACACTGTCTATCTGTCAGGGCCCAAACCAGCTGTGCTTGTAGTGTAAAAAAAATTTCTAGAGCTTTCTACGAAGATGGCGCCGAAAGCGAAGAAGGAAGCCCCTGCCCCTCCCAAAACTGAAGCCAAAGCAAAGGCACTGAAGGCCAAGAAGGCAGTCCTGAAGGGCGTCCACAGCCCCCCAAAAAAGAAGATCCGCACGTCACCCACGTTCCGGAGGCCTAAGACGCTGAGACTCCGACGGCAGCCCAAATACCCCCGGAAGAGCACCCCCAGGAGAAACAAGCTTGACCACTCTGCCATCATCAAATTTCCCCCGACCACTGAGTCAGCCATGAAGAAGACAGAAGATAACAACACACTTGTGTTCATTGTGGATGTCAAGGCCAATAAGCACCAAATTAAACAAGCTGTAAAGAAGCTCTATGACATTGCTGTGGCCAAGGTCAACACCTTGATCAGGTCTGATGGAGAGAAAAAGGCCTATGTTCGACTTGCTCCTGATTATGATGCTTTGGATGTTGCCAACAAAATTGGGATCATCTAAACTGAGTCCAGCGGGCTAATTCTAAATGTAATAAATTTTTCTCACCATAAAAAAAAAAAAAAAGAATTTCTAGAAAAAAGTTTGTTTAAATGTTAAATGAATTAATAAATCCTAAGTGTGAAGTGGAAAACAAAAGCCTTTCAAGCGTTTACATTTAGGGTCCTATGAAAAAGATATTTTTTCACTTCATTGTAAAGAAGCTGAAATGTAGACTGGACTGCACACCAAAAGTGTTGGGACGGATACCAATCAGTGGCTCAAAAGCAAAGGTCTTGACTTTAATTTTTTTGAAGGTAAAATAGTAAAGATAGATTTATTACATCCTCAAAGGGATGGACCTCCTTCCTTGAAAGGAACCGTGGAGTGAGGCTTGATTCCAATTTTAAAAAGTGGTAAATGATCAAGCATTCACAAATCGAACACTCACAGCGTGCATTTCTGTTGCTGCTGTCCTCAGTTAACCTCAGTCACCTGCAGCCGATGACAGAACGAGCTAGGCCTCCAGCTGGCCCCATTGTATCCCCCCCACCCCCCACCCCCCCCGGCTCTCAGAAGCCGTCCTCAGCTGTGAACTAGGGAGACACAGCCGAAGACGGCAGCTCGGAACCCATCCCGCAGGCAGCACTGAGGTGCCCAGGGAGGGAGAGGATGGTGTTCCCGGAGGAGCAAAGGGAAGGCTGGGAAGTCTCACCCCGTGAGAAGTGCGCCCCAGCCCCGGGCTGCAGGCAGAAGCAGCTCTCTGGGACTCCTTCAGCTCTGGTGAGGACTCTGCCCCGCTGCACCAACCCCACAGACAGCAATGTGCGCTCCCAAACACGTTCACGGTCACTGCCACCCTCAGGTGTCAACGACTCTGCCCTGCTGCAGCAACCCCACAGCCAGTAGCTCAGACCAGCGGTGTTTAAACTTTATCTCATGCCCAAATATCAACAGTTAAATCTGTAAGGCCCATAATTTATCAATTATGTGCTACTCCATCTAAATTACATGCATCATAATATAAAAATCCAGAAATTTTAAAAGGAGATGTTAACATGGTAAGTAGAAGTTTTCTTCCCACACCTGAAAGGATTGTCCCAGGAACCTCATTTTCAAGGTTAATGAAGCAAGTGGACCCTAGATTCCTTTCCAGAACTCAGTCTCCTTAGACCAACAGCTGGGGAGAAGCAGGGTCCCCAGCAGAGGGGAGAAGACCAGAGCTCATCAGTAACAGGGAGGGATGAAGAATGAGGGCTACCTGACAACAACTCAACGCGCGCTGGTGAGGACATGCTGCTGTGGCAACGGCCAGTCACCGCTGTCACGGAGAGGAGGAGGGTGGGAGGCAGGGAGGCGGACAGCCAGTTGTCCGACTCACAGACACCTGCCTCATTGTCTCTACACTCACCTGTTGTAAAGCTTCTCGTAAAAGCCCTTACTCGGCAGGGTCATGTTAACACTTGGTAAGGTGAGTTCCAGCACGTAGCGAGAATTGCTAATGGCTTTATCCTGAAACTCAGTCATTTCTACAGGGTCTCCCGGCATCACCATCTGAAACACAAGAGTTTAGAGCAAAAAAAGGCATCAAATAACCACGGTGGCTCATAAGGAGCTGCGCTTTCCCAGGTTACTTTATCTTCAATCCGGGAAACTGACCCTGGGCATTGGGGCGAATGAGGACAGAAGCTGCTCCGCCCGCAGGCAGAGTGCCCACCTGCTCACCTGCTCGTTCTCAAACATGACCCGGCGTGAAGAGAAAGGGGACGGGGCAGGCCTCTTGAGGTCACAGACATCCTTCAGGGAATGCGCACCCCCTTCCTCCTCCTCCTGGAAGGGCCCCCCGTTCTCCTCATCCTCCGCGGCTATCCTCTCCAGGATGGAGTGCATCGCTGGCGGGTTGACCTTCAGGACAATCCTGACACCAAACACAACAGAGAAAAGGTTCTCAGTGACAACTGTTGGCTGGGACGACCTCCGACAGCACCTCAGAGGTCAGGCGCGAGTGTGCAGCAAGGTGAAGTGTCCATGATGAAACAGGTTGTACTAAAGTGGACAGGGCCAAATGAAAATGGACCTTTTGAGACCAAAAAGTTCATTTTAAAATGTCATTAACACAATGAAAGCCCAATCAATCTCTCTGTAAACCTTCATTAAAATCACAATAATAATTTTAAAAAAGTCATTAACAGAATACGTGTGTATCAAAGATTAAAGAAATCCAGTGACAGAAAATGTTCCAAGGGGGAAAAAGAGATTAAATGGGGATGGAAAAGTTCAGAATTGTGATGACTGGTCATCTTTTCCTTCAGGCATTGCCCTAATAAGGTGCTGTGAGCTGCTGCGGCCCTGGGGGCAGTGTGTGTGCGGGCCGCCTCGCGCTGAGCTCTGACGTCGAGCAGGTAACAGCAGAACGGCCAGCCTCAGGTGGACCAGGAAGGACCTTGAGGACACTTTGGATCCCAGCGGGTGGTTCTTCCTTGCACTGAGGCCGGCGGGGCGGCGTAGGGAAGCAGCCCTCAGCCGCAGGCACTGTTCCAGGGCTCTCACTTCCCCTGCGAACACTCCGTGGTCCAGCATAGCACGGCATGACTTTCTGTTTTCATTTGTTTTTTTAACTAATTTTAATGAAAGTTTACAGAGACTTTGGATTTCCATTCATTCACTATTGCACTTTTCTCCCTACCCACCCTTCCTCCCCAATATGCTCTTCTCTTTGAAAAGTAAAACAAAAACTCTTGCACTGTTATACAATCTGTCCCCTCAAGTCCACTCCACTGTGCAGCCTTTGTTCTGGACTCCTGTCATGACAATGATACCTAATCACATATCCCTTGTAAATAGTTCTCTCCCTCATCTGTTTCAATGCAGTATCATCATTCCTGCCTCCTTCTCTGTCTGCCCTCAACCCTGATGTCTGTTTTCATTTTATCACCACTTCATCCATGGTGACAAGGACACAGGAGACCCTCAAATAAAACCACTTGTGTGACCTTTCCAAGCTCTGTCCACCTCAGTGCAGATGTGTCAGTGGGCTCTGTGGCTAAGGTATTTGGCTGCCAGATAGGAGGTCTGCATTCAAGCCCCCAAGCATCCTTGGGGGGACAGGCACAGCACTCTGTCCTCTGAAGGTCACACAGCCTGGGAAGCTCCTCTTCCTGACAAGGTCACTACGACACAGGTTTTAACCCGACAGCACGGGTTCCACTTAAACCACTTGCACCTTGACATCAAGGAAACAAAGATCTTCACAACTGACTAATACGCAATATCATGAAAAACATACAGGAGACTGCAGTGGTTAATGATTTAATTGTGGTCTGACCCACAATCAACCCACATGGAAGCAGCAGTCAAGAAATAAAGATGTGCTGCCTTCTAGACATTGGTGGGGGCTGGTAAGGAAGGGAGTCCAAGGGGAGAAGACGTTGGTGGACAGAGGGCTGGGCGAAGGGAAAGGCAGGAGTCAGGGGGGATGTGGCATTGACTGGAGAAGACTCAACAACAATCTACGTTATGCAAATGATGCTACCTTGCTCGCTGAAACTGAGGCAGACCTAAAGCGCCTGCTGCACAAGGTCAAGCGCCGTAGTTTTCAACATGAATTCAAGCTCAGCATCAATTAAAAAAAGATTCTCGCCACTGGGCCAACGGCAGCACCACGATGGATGGAGAGACGGAGGTTGTTAACAGTTACAGCTTGATCGGCTCCACAATCAACATTCTTGGAACCAGCAGTTAGGAAAGCAAAATATAAATTGCATTAGGTAAAGGTGCTGTCAGGGACCTCTCCAGCATACTGAGAAACAATGATGTCAGTCTAGAGACTAATGTGCACCTGATCTAGGCCATGGTCTTATCAATTACTTGCTATGCATCACAGAGCTGGACAATGACTAAGGCTGACACAAGAATTGATGCCTTTGAGTTGTGGTGCTGGAGAAAAGTGTTGAACATACCATGGACCACCAAGAAAACAAATAGGTCTGTCTTGGAGAGAGTGATGCCAAGTTTCTCCTTGGAGGCTAGGATTCTGAAGCTCTGTCTCGCATACTCTGGGCACGTGGCCAGGAAGGACGAGTCCTTGAAGAAGGACATCATGCTCAGAAGGGTGGAGGGACAGTACAGGAGAGGAAGACCCAGATGAGATGGATTGACACAGTAACTGGAGTCATGGGGGTTGGTGTGTTGGAGTCATTGAGACTGGCTCAGGACAGGGCAGGCTTCGGAGCTGTTGTATACAGAGTTGCTTGAGTTGGATGGTGCAAAACAACAATGTTACAAAACAAAATGTATGCTCACATAAAGACTAATTTAAAAAAGCCCAGTAGACATAGGCAGGATGGTGGTAATTTGACTGTTTAAAGAATAAAGCTTGTTCAGATGGTTTTTAGAAAAGGGCTAAAGAGCAAAGGTGTCAGTAGAAAGACCAAGGTGCGGCTGACTTCTGCCATGGTCTTTTCAATTTCTTCATCTATGTGTGAAAGTTGGAAAATAATTCAGGAAGAACTGATACCTTTGGATTGTGTTGTGAAGAGGACATCATAGCCCATGGACTGCCAAAAGAGCAAGCAGGCATGTCTGGAGGAAGCCCAGCGCCCTTTCGAAGCTGAGGAACTGTCTCCCATCCTCTGGGTATGTTATCAGGACAGACTAGCCCCTGGGAACAGACAAGATGCCTGGGAAAGAGGGTCAGTGAGACAAGGGGACTCTCCATGACGTGGACGGGCGGCAACTACAAGAGCAGACAGCACGGCCAGGGAAGATTCTGCTGTGCGGACACAGGGTGCTGAGTGCACCTTGACCCTACAGCATCACAGGAGTTACAAGCTGCTACAGGTGGTTTCATCCGTCCTGATGCCAGCTGAGTTCCGTCACTGAGCTGAAGTTGACCCAGTTCTCAGGGCGGCACTCCCCTCCCCGGGAGAGGCACCTGCTGACAGCCTGGGAGCCGGAATCCAGGAGGCAGGGAGCAGGGAGAGGAGGAGAAAGTACACGGGAGCATCACCGCACCTCAGGCCAGATGCTGCACTTTAGTACTGTCTACCATCATCCCCAATCAGAAACAAGCTCTTCCCAACATGACCCAAGCCCATGGTCAAGCTGACCAGGCCAAAGGAGAGCTCTCCTGCCAGGCCCATGGCACCAGAGCCACCAGACTGGGTGAAAGGGCTACTCTCATCCAGGCTGGTCTCCTGGTCTCTGCCACGCACACCTGTCCTTCACAGTGTAGGACACATGGTCGATCAGGCCGCTGCCCTTCAGTCTCTGGGTCCCACATGGTCGCTCAGGCTGGTCTCCCCCAGTCTCTGGATCTCACCCGTCTTTAAGGCTGGTCCCCACAGTG